ATGTTTGTGTTTTGACCCAGATTATCATATGCTGAGTGAAGTGCACTTTCTGTTGCAAAGTGAGGTACATGTGCACAGAAAAGAAGGCGGTCAAAACAGATGTATTGTTGTATATTTGGCAACAAGATGCACATGCAGGCCCAGCATAAGAAAATAAGCAGTTACATCCAAAATGGTGAATACAGGAACCTTTAAACAGAGGAACAGGCTCAAATTTCAGCTTTCTAAAACAGTGAATGCTGACACCCGGTCAGTTTACAATTAAAAGTTGTTTTTGCTCGTTTGACATGAATGTCTTCCTTTACCACCTCTAAAAACATTGAACTTGCTGTGGTTTCCATGTCAGGTACATGAATGGTACATGTTTGACCATTTTTTTAATTTAGCTAGTGCTGGGATTTTGTTTTTTGTATTTTTTTTGCCTTAAAGACCCATTCAGTATTTGTAGAATGTGAGACTAAATGGAGTAGAGTATATATGTTTGGTGGCAGAAGCTCTGATGAATTAAAAGAGTAAATAGCTCAAACAGCACTCTGCTTTCGGATATAATTATTGTTGTTCAGCTACGTGTACATGTGCAGCATAACTATTGACTTCAGCCATCCATGATGCACGTGTCATTTTACATCAGTTGCATTTTCCCTTTAAATGATGTCGGGAGTTTCCAAAAATGTTCACTTGGACATGGGGATTCAGCCAAAACACAACAGAAATGTCCCAGTTTTGCTTCAAAACAACGATGTGTAAATATAGAGTCTAAACTTGATACCCATATATTTTTCCTGTAATTCACACTTTAATGTATGTGACCAAAACATCTGTCTGTGAGCCGAGCATAGACGTTATTAACTCTCCAGATTCAGCTTCACATTCAAAAATTCTTTATTGTCGTCTGTTTTTGTCTGTCTGTGATGGTGGGGAGACTGACTCCAACATCTTCTGTGCAGCCTTCACCACTTTCTGCAAAGCTTTTCTTTCTGCAGCTGTGCAGCCTCCATGCTACACATTGATGCTGGAGCACAGGATGCTCTCCACTGCACACCTGTAGAAGGAGGTGAGGACTGAGCTTCCCAGACCAGCTCGTCTCAGCCGTCTGAGGAAGTAGAGTCTCTGATGAGCTTTCTTGATCAGACTGGTGGTGTTGTTGCTCCAGCTGAGGTTGTCATTCATGTGTACACCCAAGTACTTGTAGCTGGAGACCACTTCCACTGCAGATCCACCTATGTTTGTGTGTGTGTGTGTGTGTGTGGGGGGGGGGGGGGGGGGGG